AAAGAAGCTCTTAACACCGCTGATAAGTGATGTTACGGCGATGGTGATGGTGTCTGACAAAATCACTGAGGAATGATTGGTGATGTTGAAAAATGAATCGGATATTTGGAATCAACACGAGAAATTGATCCAAATTCGATAAAGACATTTAGTCAACAAGAAAATTTCAGACACGCAGTTGTTTAGTCTTGTTGAGTCCATTATTAACAAAGCGATTGTTGAATATATGGAAGGTCTAAATGTTTCACTTGAAGGGAGCAGAGTGCTTATCGAGAAGCAGCAGTACATATAATAACAATAATAATAAGTATAAATGTGTACCATGCTGAGGGTTGGTGCAGTAGCGATTATCGAATATTTATGTTTCTGTCAATATCGCTTCCGGAAGAGACTCACAACTAAGGCTAGCAACGTACTGCTCGGCTATACTCATGGCCATCATTGCCAATCACCAGCCACTTTTGTCTTATTGTGTCTTCTTATTCTGGATATGTTTGCAGACAACCGTAAGACTACCACGATGAGCAGCTTGATTACTATTATGAAATAATAATATTCATTATCACTGTTGAGCAACACAGCCTATCCGCACTTTTTTTACGTTAACGTTTGTAGATATTTGAATGATCTCTTAAATGCTCGAGAAATTTTCATTTCTCATAAACATATCTCATGAACATATTTTTTTAAGATTGATCTTCGAAACTATTTTAGAGAAGCTTGAATCTTAGAAAAAAAGGTGTTGGGATATATGAATTAATGATAAGAACTTGGTTGGAGGAAGAGCTTCGGATGGAAGCATTTTGATGGAAGCATAGATCGGGTGGTTGCTGGCGTGCAGATGCTCTTTATTGTTCTCTTGTTGATTTTAACTACGTATGCCGCTCATAACGTTGCATTAAGTCAATGGCTGTCACTTTCCAGTTAGTTCTTTTATCAGTTTCAATCAATCAACATTCTCTTGGTTAAAGTTGTGCATGTTGAGTGTTGATTTCAGTGTTCAAGATGAGATTTCCGGGTTCGTGTAGACGTGGTCAGTTCGATTGTGGCTTTAATAATTGTATTTCATATAAGAAATTACGTGACGGACATAGCGACTGTTTCGATATGAGCGATGAATGTGAGTAGAGCTTCATTTATTCATTTAAGTCGATTTCTACTGCTACTAATAGTTGATGAAGGACTGCTTAGATTGTTTCCCGGGCCATGTAAAGTGCGGCTCATACTGCGTTGATGCTCACTATTCACCGCAATGCATGATCAATCCAAGTGAGTTCGTTTTGAATGCCTTTATGAAAATGGAATGGTGTTTGATATGCATTGCAAATATGTGTACTCGTTTCAGGATGTGATAATTCAGCAACATCTCCTTCATTCTGCTCTGCAATCAGTGCGTTTTATTTCGTTTCTGTTTATTGATACTGCAAACAAATCGTAACAGTGCTTATTTATGTTACCTTCCTTTGCCAGATTAAAAACTAATTGCAGAGGAGAAGTTGTGTAGTGTGAGAGATACAGTACCATGTAAAGGATATGGTGAATGTGTTCTTGTGAAATGGCTTATGGATGGTAAAAACGATTGTTTGGATGGAAGTGATGAAGGTACGTTATCACACTATTACCTCTAATCATCCGCGTATGACGCTATCCACCAATCATTGAAGCGATCACCACTTCCAATTCATAATCGATAATTCCAGACAAAGACTATGTGATAGCATTCGGCTTTATGAGTGCACTGAACTGGATCACATTCCAACCAATAACGCCCATGCAACATCCAAAGCCACATTTTTCCATCGAACATCATTCTCCTAAAAGTGGTGATACACAATCCAAATCATTGTTACAACCAACTGAGGATATTGGTGAAGTTGATTCTGATAAATGGATGTTGTCGATTTCACATCATTTGAAAACACCGTTTGATACCCATAAAACAACTGCAGTAAACTCTTTGTCCTCGTCGAATGTTGCTACTGATTATTTTCATTCTCATTTTTCTCATCACGGCGATACACCGCCAGCAAATCCATTTTCTTCATTCTATACTTCACTTATTCCACTCAGCACCCCTCTTCCAGCAACAACTAATCCTCCAATTACTGACAACTACCCTTTATCAGTACCAACTAAAACCACTCTACCCAGCTCTTTCCCTTCACTATATGTGCATCATATCGCTCCTCCATTCCCACCTACTTCATCACCACAAAATGAACATTTATTATCATCAACTCGCTACGAATCATTAACGTTTCTTCATTCTACGTTACCCACAAGCACCCCTCTACCACTGCACTCCATGCCCCCATTATTCCACGAAACAACACTTTCCGCGCTCTCCCCATTTATTGATCAATTAAAATCGTTCGAATCATCATCATCCTTATCATATCCACTTAACCCAGTGTCCTTGTCACCACCAACAACCCTAACGGACAATACTATTACTAATGTACCTCTGTTATCATCTAATAATCCATATCTGCATAATAATGTGCATCCTGTGTCAACTCCCGAGTATACGCTTTCTCCATTATCCTTTGGCGTTCCCGCAGATCGTCTTTCACCTCAAAGTGCATTCAGCACGATTCGATCACCTCACCTCATTCCATACATTTCGTCTTCTGAGTCATCATTATTGAAACTCAATCAGAACCATGTAATACAATCACCTTTGGGCTCCCATTTTCAAACAAAACAACCACAGCCATCGCAGACCAACGAAATGACCTTTCTATCTGCATTACTATCTTCCACACCATCCTCTGCATCGTTGCGATTTTCGATCATTCCAACTCAGCGAACATCAACTGTTGATTATCACCATTCTACTGCTACGATAACTAATGAAGAAGTAAAGTGGCACATACTGAAGACGAAAACAGATGAATGTATCAAATCTTTACAAAAGAAAGCAATGCAAAAATATCCGAATCCGATTTGCGAATGTCCAGCGGGACAAATGCGAGTTGGGAGTGCGCAAAAGTGTCAACGTTTGTTCCATTTGATTTGTTCTCCTATCGATCTTTTCTATCGCATACTGCTTGATTCTTTATGGAATCAACACTGATAAGTGCAAACTGAAGTTTGTGCAAATGCAAAGCAGCACCACTAGACTCCACCCTTCAGGCTTGGATATATCGACATTCGCTGTGAAGATCAATCAGATATGCGAGCAAAGTCAACCGGATTTGCAGAATAGAGCAAGTTTAGTGATGCAAGAAGTATATTATTATTGTTATTGTTATTATTTTTATTACTATTATTACTATTATTATTATTATTATCATTATTATTATTATTATCATTATTATTATCATTACTTTATTATCATTATTATTACCATCACTCTTATTCTCATTGCTGTGAAAAATGCGTATCTCAGAGTTAGTACACAATTTCATAATTATTATTAGTATTAGTAATATTATTAAACATTGTTATTATTATTCCATCATTATTGATTATCATCATTATCATGGTTTACTTAGTCATTCAAGTAGTCAGCAGCTGAAGAATTTATGCGTGTGTGCTATCACCGATATGACTAATACCACATTTTCCCTTTCTTCTTTCAATGCAGCTAGCGATAGTAGCGCACGGAATCATCTGTTTCCATGAAATTCTGACTTCGATATTATAATTGTTTGCAAAATTATGGTTGATACTGTTGGTTGAATAATGCACGTACATGATGGCGTCAGGTGCAGAAGTAGCATGATGAGAGCAAGCAAATGCATGATGAGTGGTCTGTGTGTAAAATGCTCGTTGTCTCATGCAATTTCCATGCTTCTTTCTATCCCATTGCTTTCGCGTGGCTTTTCAGCCGAGTCGTCATTTATTAAGTGTGCTCTTCTCTGCTATCCCCTACAGCCATCGCAATCAGCATTCAATACTTCTTCATTCACACACATTCTCGAATCAATAAAATACTACTCAAAAGCGTCATCAATGAGCGTTAAACAAACGCATCTGCAGCAACACTGCTATTTGCAATAATACCATGAGCAAACTGAATTATATGCCGACAACGGTTCTCATTCCATTCTATCAGTATCTGCTACCGTGTTTAGTTCAAGCTCTTAACACTCTGATAACAATGTTTATCCATACTTCATTGTTGTTTATCCATATCAATGTTATCATCATTATTATAATCATACGATATGAAATATTTATTCCAATGTACATCCAATGTATCTGTTCCAATCATATAGTGTTTATAGTATGAGTACTTATTGAAATAATATAGTATGAGCAAATATGAATAATCTAGAATTTGAACAAATATGAATAATCCGTTTCTCAGTACTTCATCGAAAACGCTGTTCATTCATCGATAGGCAGTATGAATCCAGCTGTTGCATAGGTATTACCGAATGGATAATGATTGCTTTTAATCGGCTTCACTGTATATCCCACATCCAGCGATCGTTCACGCACCACATTGTTATTATAATCATATGATATGTTCTCTGCCAATCATCCAAATGCTACTCTTTCTCAAATGGGTAATGATGTCGCTGTCCTCGTCTCCTATTTTATTTCTTCCGAAATATTATTCACTGACTTGTAACAGCAATTCATTTTGTTCTTCAACATCTTAATTGAAAATAAACTCCATATAATGACAACCACCCACTCATTATTGGTATTGTCAAGTGTAAGCCGAATGAAATTCTTCATTTTCATTCACTCAGCCATCCATCCGTCCTCAAATCAGCTGTACGGCCAAGATTGATCATCAGCTATATGATTTTTTACTCACTTCAGGTGTAGGATACTCTGAGTTATTAATCGGGTCCTTGTTCATGAATAACGCTACACATCTAGGTGAAATTTTATCATTTATTGACTTTAGCTGAGCGACTTTATCAATTGAAACTTGATTTCATGAGTACTACTATCTATGAGTTCAAGTCATTCGATTTTACCGTTGAATATATAGTTTTTGTGCCTAACCGGTAGAAGATATCACGAAAGATTACTACCGGTGATGAATTGTTTCCACTTGAACTGTTACATGATGCTTGGAACTTGGTCATTATTTTGGTGTTTTTTAAATGTTGAGAAGGACGACAATTCATTGCTTATATTAAACTGAAAGTGATAATGAATAGTATTTGAATGGTATATTTCATATTTGATTTTGGATGGATGAAGAATTTTTATCTCAATTATCGATGTGATAACAACATTCAACAACAAGACGAGCGATTTAAAGATGGATGAAAAAGGCAAAGAATTGTGTCCTCGTCTCATCGATTACTTGGTTGGTGATGCTTTGCGAATTCTTTTGGACATCCAATGTTAATGTATACTGGCAGTTATGTTTGGATTTAAGGTTAAAGTTTATGTCGCCGGTTCGTTTTACCTACACGATAATCGGTAATCGAGTTAATTGTTGATTGCTCGGAAATGTAATGATGCACATCCGTCTAGAGTAGTACTAGCACATGTGTTAAAAATGATATGATAAAGGTGATTGTTGGTAAACGATCTCGTGTACGCAAAAGCTCACAGCAAAGTTTCGATGGAGGTGTTTCGTCGTCGGCAAATATCGGTGCAACAGGATCATCGGTGAGTGTCACCAATCCGGAATTGTTACGACGTTATCCGACCGATGACCATAAAGACTTTTATTTACCCACTGATGTGACCGTCTTTTGTCAACCTGAGGGCTGTATCACTAAAGGTTTCTGCATTTCATCATGCTTTACGACTTTTTTCATTCGTTTACTCATTTATTTATCAGGCATACTGCACTACTCATTTTTTGTTGCATACCTGTAGGGTTTATTACTTGCAATTATACTAGCACCAATAATGATATGATAATAGCAATAATAATAGAGACTGAGTAAATGAACTAGATTTTCAGGTGTGCCCCGTCGAACGCAATCGCTTCGAGATTCACATAGTTTCGTGTTTACATTAACTGAGAAAGATTCGGCAAAAATTCGTTATGGGGTTTGTTTGAATTTTTTTGAGTGCTTCGAAACGAACAGACTCAGTACATATTGCAAGCAATCGACAAACACATCCGTTCAGCACAGCACAATAACTCGACGGTTTGTTAATTTGTATTTTTTGATATAATGTTTTAATGATAATAACTAATGGTCATAATATAATAATAGCAGTGACAACGATAAACTAATCATAAAAATTATCGGAATAGCCAGTGTTTCAGACGCGATCAAAAGTTATCACTGACGAGTCTGTGCTTGATATCGCATCATCCTTTTCTATCAACATTTCGAGAATTATTAACACTTCTTAAGAATCTCATCGACAATTGCGATTATCGAATAGCTCATGGTAATTCTATGCTCAGGTGACTTGATCATTGTTATTCTTGTTGATAATATTGTAATAATGATAGTTTGTTAATATTATTGCAAATACTTTGACATTATAATGACAATCATAGAGGTGCATTATGGTCAGTTTTGACTGGACATTGGGCCGAGACAATACCGGCAAGTGTAATGCATGAAATTCGAGAATTAGAAACATGGATTTTGATGCTTCTGAGCGCACCGGTTCCTGTTCCCGGGAAAACAAAAGTGCAGTTAGAGGTAAGGCATTTTTATGATTCATTGAATTGAAGATTTTCCACTTGTGTACTCGATTAGATGTTATTTATTCGTATTTTTATTGTGCATTAGCAAGTGCTAATCAAGTCATCCTTAAAGGCTGTTTTCAGTCATTATCGAACGACACACGCACGAAAAGTCGTTTAATCGAACTTTTTAAAAATCCCAATGGAATCGGTGCTGTTTCAAATGAATTTTTGGCATAGTTCTGATACTAATACGAATTAGTATTAGTAACAACAATAACAATCGATTGTTATTCCAGGTGATGCCAATTAGCATAATGCCAATACTGGAATTCGCTCTACCTGACCATACGCGTTTTTCGTTAGTTGATTTCCCATTGCACTTACCATTGGAATTACTCGGTATCGATACGGCCATTAAAGTACTAGAGGCTGTGATGCTTGAATGTAAGGTGAGTTGGTATTTTGATCGCCCGAATTTCAGGTTTACCGAAGGATTAGATCGAAAATTTTGAAAGTTTACTTGAAAAGATGAATGGGTGTCGGAGAAAATTGAACTTAAAAATATTGCAACGTTCACAATAAATTCGAACGAGGACAATGAATAAAAGTTTGAACTCTTCCAGGTGGTGCTACAGTCAAGAAATTATAATGCAGTAAGTATGTGTGTGATGGCGATTGTCGCACTTTTATATCCGTTGGAGTATATGTTCCCTGTAATACCACTATTACCATCCTATATGCCATCCGCTGAACAGGTTCGTTCGTTTAACTGTCACCGATTCGGAGCATTATATTGATAATTATAATCATAAAAATGAGCATTAAATTACAGTTGTTATATGCGCCAACACCGTTCATAATTGGAATACCCTCATCGTTTTTCGTTCATAAAAAGATTACAACACTACCGAACGATGTGATTGTTGTTGATTTAGACACAAATCAAGTGCATATGCCTCATGGTATGAGTTTACCCGAATTACCTGAACCGGATTGCACCAACCTGAAGGTTATATCTTAAGGTTTTAAGCTGATTGCGAGATTGATCGACACGTCTTAATACTCATATTCTTACGATTAGTAGCTAACGAGTGAAAATTGTTTTGATTGTCATCTTAGTTATTAATACTGATATTATTATTAATAGCCATAACAATGTTAATTTCAGAACAGTTTCCGTGCGTCTTTGGGTAAAATGACAATGAATACAACAGATGTAAATAATATTGGTGGACGTCATGGAAGTTTTGAATCGAGTTATACGATTGATAGTGATGTTATAGATGTCGCCGTTCGGGTGGCTATGGTAAGTAATAGTTATTTATATTTTACTCATTCCTTATTGATTTGTTGATTACTATCGTTATGAATATGAGTGTTGTTGTTTCAGATTCGATTTTTTAATAGTGCAAATGTATTCGCAAACTTCAGTGAGCATACTCGAACGTTAAGGTTGTATCCACGACCAGTGGTTGCCTTGCAAATCGAATCGTTTTTGAGGAGTCGACCACACTTCACTCAATTCGTGCTTGACCTTTGCAAGTAACTATTTGATAATGAATAATATAATATGAAAAAATAATAATTGAAACTCAGGACGCAAGCGGTGGAGTATTTTGCGGAGTGTTCGTTATGTCCACGAAATGAGACGTACGTTCGAGTGCAGACGGGTACAGATAATCCAGAACAAATTGGTGATAAAATCAAATGGTTTAGTGATGCGCTGATGCCTGTTCATTTCACTGTTAGTTATTTCTTGTTCACCTATTGAGGGCAATTTATTATTTATTCGAATTTCACTTTTATGCTGAAATAAAAGCACATTTGCAGGTTTATCCAAATGATTCAACACTGGCAACCATTTGGCATTACACAGCAAGCAATCATATGAACAGTGGATCTGGTAATTTTGCATACTTTCATTAACTGTATATAATAATAATGAATTGAAGATTCTGATGAGGATAATGGAAGTGAAGGAGGTAACACAGATGATGCGGGTAGTTGCTCAAGCATTGACGATCTCGTTTTTGAATCACCCGATGAAATTGATCCAACATTAGGTAATATTTTACGTGTATTGTGTATCGTTGAGTATACACTAATGTATGAATGCTTTATTAAAGGTGCATCAAAACCGCTCGGAGAAGTGAACGATGTTTATCGCGAGCCACTTACACTCGAACTACCACAGAGTGAAAGTGCTTTATCTATTGGAAGTTCGAGTAGTGGACGGTATTATTTTCATTGATTGTTGTTGTATTTTGATTGGTTACTGATGTGAGTGAATGGATAATTATTATGAATAAACTGCGTTTCTGTTTAGGTCAAGTCCTTCATCATCAGTTTCCACGTCGGCGATGGACAGCGAAGCTGATTTTGCACGACTAGCAGAGAATTTAGCATTGAAATCAGATTCGAAGGTTATTGTTATCAGCAATTGGTATTATTATTGTCGTTAATATTAAAGTAAATTTTTGCAGGGCGCTTTTTCGTTCGATCATTCAGATGAGAGTACACCGATACAGAATCGGAAAGGAATGATTGCAATGAAAGGTTTTAGCTCATTGCAACAACCTGAAAGTATAACTGGTACATCAAATTATAAAACACCTCCGTTAAAAGTAGTTGGTATGAAGGTAAGTTGAATTGATCGCATTAAATCTTTTATTTCGTTCCTTCATTTTAGTTACAAATCATCTATTCATAGGGTATTGCACATTTAACGGATTCTGGTGAAAAGGTATTGGGACCGCAGTTCATGAGTGCATTAAATGGATATGCTGAAAAAAGTCATGATATGTTCAGTCAGGTTGATTCTACTTTGATTATTGCTCGTTCAAGTGTTGATATTTGTTTACTTACTCTTATTGCTGTTGTTATTATAGATGAATGAAAGAATACTTTGTAAATAAACGTAAAGAACATAAATTTTTAAAGATGCTGAATCGAACAGCACCAAAAGCACAAGCACTACGAGATAAGACAATGCGACCAATCGCAGCTGCAGCAGCAAATCGTATGGAACAAAGTCAACATCTAGTTAAAACGAAAACAACCACCATCACAAACACAAATACGGCCATTCAGCAAAGGTTTTTTAAAATCAAAGTAGTCAATCGTTACGAAAATAATAATACTTATGTAATACGTGATAATAATAATAATAGTCTTAATAATCATAATAATATCAATAATAACGAATAATTTAAGTAAAAATCAACAAGTGGTACGAGAAATTTGTGATCAAGTACTATCAGGGCAGGGTGTTGGAGTATTTACATATCCGAAATTGAAGCGTCTGATGGAAGACGAGAGTTTACGACAGCTGGTATGTTCAAAACTGAACCTGGGACTGGAAACGAAGCATTCTGAAGACGATTTTGTTCAAGATATGGTTTGTTGGTTTTTAATGCATGAATACACGTTTATCTTTCTTATAATCGCATCTGTAACCTTTAAATGGCTCGTGAAGGACTATAGGGTTCTTTTCCGGTGCTCATTCTCGATGCTGAGCCTAAATAAAAGCCCATAATTCCTGGTATTCTTCAAAATATTTGTTTCCAGTAACGTTGTGCACTTTGTGACCTTAAATTTGCCTTCGTGATAATTCTAGAAACGAACTTTCCTCCTGAAATAAATGGCTGCCATTCAGGTAATGGTTTACATCAAATAAAGCCAAGCATTTAGTGGTTAATCATGTCTATGACATAGTAAATGCATTTTCAAGTGCATATTCATCAATGAATACGCAAATTTCAGCACTTGAATCGTTCACAATATAAAGGATATGTAAAAGTGCTACAAACATGTATCGTTGGCTTAGAGAATTCGTTCAACACGCCCGGTTCAAACGGTCTCGCATCGCTATTTCATGTTCTTGAAATTGCACACACGCATTTTTGGGCGAAAGAATCAACCGCAGAAGCTGTAACTCCAGCTAGTGGGGTAATAATTTTAGATGCTAGCTAATAGATGAACCGGGATTAATGTAATAAATTTGCTGCAGTTGAATACGCCATCCGCGGCTTATTTATCGTCGTCGCCATTCGCAGTTCATCAGCAGCCATCTGCAGCAATGAGCAGTAGCAGTAGCGCAGCAGCACAACAACAGAAACGACTGCCATCGACACACATCGATACTCGTATTATGTCATTATCACAAGCAAACACTTCGTCAGTTCAAATTCAGTCAACATCGAATGATCGTCCAGCTGAACAAACTAAAAAGTTATCGCTAGCACAACAAGGTGGCATTATCTCTTCTCAAATCTGTTGTGCTGCTGCCGCACCTTTTGGTCAAGATGCAGATTCAGTTAAGTCTCAAGATTCATCTGTTGCTTCTGCTTCGGTTGCTGCAGCACATCGACAAGTTTGCGGTATTATCTTACGTGAGTTATTATGCATATTGTTATACTCTTTCTTCATCTATGCAACAACAAATGAAATAAGATATTAGAGAATGTATTTTCCAGCAAGTGGACCGCCACCTCCTTTGCCGCCTCGTCGACCACCACCACCTAGATTGCCATCGTTACCAACAGCCGCAGTGGCGTGTCGTTCTGGGTTTGCCGGTGGTGCTCCATCCACAATCTCCTCGTTACAACAACAAGAATCTGTTAATGAGGGAATAAATCAAGCAATAAAAATTGAAGATCATGAGCAGGTTGAAGGTGAGAATTATAGTAAAAGTCATCATCTTTCATCTCTAAATGAAGTAACAACGACAAATTCGGAAGGAACAGCAATGACATCAGCAGAAGAACAACGAAGCACTGCCTCACCATCATTCTCTGTAGCAGCAACAAATGCAGATAATCAGATGGCTGTGACAACAAGAACACCACCATCCCAGTGTGCAGTTGCTTTACCATCAGAAACAGCAACAACAACCCAGCAACAGTCCAATGATCATAACACAACTTCGAGTGTGCAGCAGCAGAGCACAAAAGGAGCAGTTTTCGATGTGGATGAAAAATCTGAAACGAATACATTGGTTGCTTCACAGCCCTCATCTGGTCCTTCGTCGGTTCGTTTCTCTCCTACTGCTATCTGCTGCTGCAGCATATAATAATATGATAGTGAATATTTAACATATTTTTCAGCCTCTGCCACCACGCAGTTTGCCAGTTGAACAGAATGTATCTTCAGCAATGACCGCAACAACAGACAGTCCGGAAATGAATCGGCACTATATTTATCAGGATTTAATTTGTATGTTTGTTAGATTGTTCATTTGTTTTGTTTATTTATTTGTTCTGAATTGGCTGGTTGAAAGCAAACTGATTGATAACTAGCGAAATAGAAAGAAGTGTGTTTTGACTTATCAGGGAGGATGAATATGTAAATTAGTACGCAAAACTTCAAAATTTATGAAATATTTATCGAATACAATTGAAGTGCCATCACAAAATCCATTATGGCAAAAGATGGTGTTCTGGGAGAACGCGTTCTTCGATGTGGTTGCGCAAGAGCGAGATATCGTTGGAATGGATCAGGAGCCTTGTGAAATGATCGATCGTTACAGTGGATTGTCGGAATGTGAAAAGAAACGGTTGGAATTGGATGAGGATCGTTTATTAGCTACTTTATTGCACAATCTTACTGCGTATATGATCATGTGCGGAACTGGACAAAAGGCCATACAACAGGTTCATTTCTGTTCTCTTTACATCTTTGGCTAAAGGGTTTTGCAAACACTGAATGACTAATTTCAGAAAATTCGTCGCCTACTGGGTAAAGCGCACATTGGTTTGGTTTATTCGAAAACAATAAATCAACTGTTGGACCAATTACCGTCAACGGTTAGGGCTGAATGATGAGATGATTTTGTCTTCTTGTTTAGGGAATGATTTCTTCATTTAATGAATGATTAAGCAGAATAACGAATGAACGTTATAATAATTGCAGCAAAGCAATGGAATCTCATTGAAACCTCTTGGAAGTCGACTGATGCAAAAGCAGTCATTCACAGTCCATGCTGGTGCAAATGCACAAGGAACACTGATGTTCATGGAGGTTTGATTATTACCTCATTTATTTTCATTCATTAACTCTACTATATTGGAAGGTGTGTGACGATGCAGTAGTGTTACGTGCCGTAACAGGCGCAATAACAGATCGATGGTGGTACGAACGTTTGGTCAATATGACCTATTCACCGAAAACCAAGGTGTTGTGTCTATGGCGAAGACATGAAGATAAAGTTCACATGCATAAATTTTACACAAAAAAGGTTATTTTCATTAACGTTGTAATTTCAATGAGCCCTCGAGTAATTTAGTGCATAAAATGAATAAGTTTTAGTGCCGTGAACTATACGCATGCATGAAAGCAGCAATGGAACGTGCAGCAGCAAGAGGTAAAGTTGCGGTGACGGGTCGAGATCTCGGTGGCGAATTTCCAGTTCACGATAGCGAATCGAATCAAGGTGGTCTTCTACAGGTCCGAATCGATGGCGTGACACTTTTATTCGCCGATCGACAGGTATACTATACACTGGATGGTGACATTCTCTTGCACTTGTCATTCAAGTCAATTTTTTGTTGATGCACTGTGCAGTCAATCAGTTCTGCTATTGTCGTTGCTGATGTGAAGATAGTTTATTGACTTGTTTACTTACTGAATGAATCAAATAAATTTCAGCATTTCATCGAGCTAAGCAACATCAAAAAATGCAATACTTTCGGTGGTAATGTGTTCATCCTTGAAGAATACGGTATGATCTAATTCGTCATTCTGATTCATCTTATTCTTATTTATGCTACTTACCTGTTCATTCTGTTTTGTTGATTTTAGACCGCAAAAAGAACGAACTTATTCAACGCCGTTACATGTCACAAATGGTTGGTTATTAAGCAAATATATTTTTGAATTTTTGAAATTTATTTCATAAATTTTTCACGCTCCAGTGTGTACCATTTTTGTGGTGGGTGGGTGGGTGGTATTTAAATAGTAGTTTTTTTGTTGATGCATGATGCAGTGTTGTTGTTGTTGCGAGGATGTTTTTATTTATTGAGGCATGTGAAATAGCATGGTGTTTACATCGTATCTTCACAGTGCAATTCACGCTTACCACTACCAATGACGAGGAAAACGCATCATCTTCAGCTGCAGTAGCAGCAGTGCATAATACCGGCATTCTGAAGAATTAGCAGCAGTAGGCGAACGAATGAACTGAATAGCAGAGGTGGATTCGTTGAACGTCGAAACTTTGATTGACACACGCAATTGGACAGTGATAATACGTTGATGAGGCAGTAGTCAGTCACTGATCACACCCTTTCAGTCCTCCCTATCGATAAGCTTTTCTCAACGAATGATTCCGTGATTGATCAATATTTGAGAGGTATTTAATTGTAATTGTCTATTGCCTTTGCATGCAACCTCTGTGCACCTTTTCTTTTATTCATTCGATTTGAGTTTTTTTCGAGTGCTATTTGATTTACGTTTTATTTTCATTTCATTCCGTTTCGTTGGTTATTCAACTTCAATTTTTACCATCCAGTAACAAATAGTGTTTGTTGGGGAACAACTTTTTGGGGAGCAGAGTGGCAAGGGTGGGACCCTACAGAAAATCGGGGAGCGAATTGACTGGGGGTGAGCTTCCACTGGGAGGAATTCGTCCAGAGGGAAAACCCCGACAAAAAAGTCGGGGAGCAAAACCTCTTAAGGGGGGGGGGGCGTCAAGGAATGATTGTATCGTCGAATCCCCGTCGGGGAAGACTGGAAGCAATTGAACGCAAGGAACTTTCTCCTCAATGTGCACTTCCGAAAGGAAAACGAAGACGGTTCAATGACAATGCACTCCAGACGACGACTTTTAATAAAAATGAGGAATACGGACAGGTCGGACCAATTGGGACCGAACATTCGGTTCTGGAGATTTGGTTTACTCTTGCAACATCTCTAAATACGTCCTCGTTTTGGATGCTCAGTTGCGTTTCGGTCAGCACCGCAATGTTCATCGGCGATTTCCATCATTATTCGAACACCGAAGCCAAAAAACTTCGACGGCTTCGAAACAGTCTGTTGCTGAGCTCTTCGAAACTTGAAACCCTTACAAATCTTCTTCTTTAGTACAAAATTTCATACCGATGAATATAAACTGCCTTCACGAGGATTCAGCCCGCCGTTTGCATGGTTCACCTGATTGCATTTCTGAGTAAGTCCGGTTCGTATGAGCCGCAATTTCCGAATTTTGCACGATTCGCTGAGCAGGGAACGTGCAATGGAAGGATACAGAACATGGGAAGGCATATGGGAGACACATAAAAAGGAGAAGAGACAAGCGCTTATTGCAGTGACAAAGTGAGTTCAGTTGCTGCGGTACGAGCAGCAACTGTGTTAACACCCGTTTCACATGACTGTGTGCTTTATCACCCCTCGCATGCATCTACGAATTTGAATGTAAGCGTTTCATGTGAGCAGGTCACGCTGAACGTGTACTGCTGTGTCCGAATGTGCTTGACAGGTCACCAAAGAACACCACTTGCACTTCAACAGCAAATTATTCAAAATTCTCGCGACGCGAAACGTTTTATGCAAAGGTTGACAGTTACCGAGGAATCCTCATGGGAAGCCCGTCCTCCCCATCAGGGAGCAGATTAGCCCAGAGGGAGCCTGGGCAAGAAATGTCGGGGAGCGTCATGATCGTCCGAGGGACCTCCACCAATTGGTTGTGGAGCAAGATTGTCAGGGAATTGCTCCCCGATGAGGAGCCCGTTTCCTGACGAAAACTACCAATGAATACATATTATTAAAATTATGTTTTTGTGATTTGTTGAAAATCACAACAACATAATTGTAGTCAATTGATCTGAAGTTCGCTTGTTGCATAAATAGGTAGATAGAATGTGAACGAGTAAGCAAACGAACACACAAATGGGTTGTCATGATCGTTATCATTATCATAATCAAATTTCGTTCACTAATCACTGAATCGGTCACTTAATTTCGAATAAATGTATTGAAGTGTTTTTCAGGCAGATCAAATTTGCTACGCGGTCTTATGCGTATTTTCGTTTGTAGCAACAGCAGGACGTGCATCATCAGCTCCATCTAGCAGCAATCAACAACAGCCACAAAAACCATCAGAACCTTCCAGTGGAGAGTCCGCAGTAACGATAATGAGTGCAACAAATAATCTTGTTGCATCCTATTCCCCATCCTCATCTTCTACTCATCAACAGTAACGCATATCGTCGAATTATTACTTAACGGTTATCATAGGTCCAGCTATGACGACTGTCGGTCAGAACATGGTTATGGTTATTCACCATGTGTTGTTATATTTGAAATTTTTTTCTGATTGTTAATATGTCTCACTTTTTCTTGATCTTTTTGTCTTAAACGGAAAGTGACACCGAACTATTTTAGTGCTTCATAATCATCCATCAAACTTTCAAAAAAGTTACTGATTCATTGTAGTTTATAAAATTTATATCTTTATCCGTTTATTCATTTGTTTACTTTAATGTTTTCATTCATTTTGTAAAGGAAAATTTGTCAGTAAAAAACACCATCAACACTCAACAAAAAAAGTTGTTTTTTTGCTCATAATACTTAAATGAATAAAATGTGTGTTTGTGGTGCGTTTTTGTTCTCCTTCGAGTGGAATTTTACATGTTTTTTTTTCTCTGGTTGTAATTTATTGGAATTGGACTGGAAATGATCCATTCAGAAAATTTTTTGCTTAATTGTTCAAAGAATACTTTTGAATGTATGTAGTAGTGATAACTAATGAAGATTCTCCGTGTTTTGTATCGTCACATAATTCATTAACGCGATTAAAGATGAATAAATCATTTTTATACATGTTTCAATGAATCAAAATGAATATCCAAGCAACAGTCAGCAGCTACTTATTAGGATTACAATATGCAACAGCTACTTATTACAATGGTTAATTGATTTATAATTGCTACTAATATTATTGTTAGCACTGGTTAACTGGTAATGAAGTGCATGTTGGTGGTGTGGTCATCGTTGTTGTTTGTGGTCCAGTTTCAGAAGATTGACGTTTTGCATAATGACTGCTAATTTTAACCGAGTATTCACTAGTACTCAGAAAAGAGCCTCGGCCAACACCGCCATCCAAAGTATCATTGCTGAGATATGATAGTTGATTTTTAGGAGAATTTTTAAAGTGACTATAGGTATGATTTTAAAAACTTTGTATGATAATAATAATAATAATAATAATAATGTGTGGCGATTCAAGGAAAAACAAAGAAAAATGAACCGGGAAGTCCGTTCGAGACATTTGAAACGAGTATGTTCATGGTAACGACCTGCATTCACAAAGGATTCATGCATTTTACGATTACTGTTGAGACTTGCTAATAGCGATCTTAAACGTATTATTTTTATTGTACTTTAATAAAAATAAGAACAACAATAAAAGCAATTAACCGTATGTGATAACGATTGTAAGTTCGTTCGTCACGCTTCGCCATATAAACAAGCACTGAGAATAGAGCAGCTATTTCTGTGCCCAAAAAGGATGCCTTAAATTAATGTGCTTAGATTAATGCAGTTGAGTGCAAGTCACTGTTAATTGCACTGAAGTGATAATAATAACCTTGAGCATAATAAACGAATAGCCGTATGAATAGTGGAAGAGTGGATCGTCCATTTCGGTGGCTGGATATTGTTTATTGCCAACCTCTTTAGAAACAGCCGACATATACACGATAATGCACGCGAAATTAGCGATTCCTTCAAATGGAATACATCAATTTGCTAATGAATAAAGCATTCATTTCAAAATGGAATACCGTATAAAATGATATCGAGCATGGATAATTCGGATCAATGTTTCTCAACTTTTGGTGATCATCGGTTAACAACTCTGCCAAAGTGCTCACCTCCTCCCTTCCCTTTTTTTAATAATACGCATTCACCACTTGGAAAAGGGTGAAGGGAACAAAAAAAACTTAGTTTCGACTGTACAATTCTCATTAGTGATGTAACAGTCTCAAAAACTGTTTCCATTTCTTGAACTGTGATGTACTGCACTGAGCCACATTAAAGAACTGCACCAAAATGAAAATTGCAAGGCTCCGCATTTTCCTCTCCAGGTTGCCTTGTACGCTTGAATGGCTATAGTTCATATTCTTGTGCATCTTTAGGAACTGTTTGCATTCAGTCGAGTGAGTCATTTTTCATTGTTCGTGTGACCGATGCAGTGGCGGTTTGCAAGGAGAAATGATAATATTCTAGTGATTGAAATTGACTGCGGGAACAGTGACGTAATTTGTAAGAGTGTCAACGCTTGAATGGTAAAATTTCAAAGTGATTTGGCAACTTCCAATCAGACAGATCGCATCATTGCTGTTTGTTCTTTTCTGATTCATTATGCTAACGGAAATTCCATGTCAGAGATAATCAACCGATCAAGTTCAAATTTTAACCAAGCATATATGCAAATATGATGTATCAGCCCATGAACCTAAAAGATAAGGAGATAGACCTGGAATCGGTTCTACTTTACTGAGTGAATTACCACTGCAACGGCCTTCTTCAAATTATAACAGTATGGAGGGAAATGGTCGAATCCAGATCAAGATGTGTAAGAATGTGATGTGCACACCTTCAAGCGCATAAAGCATGGCGTCAAACCTTGGACTATATTAGGGCAAAAGTTTGCATAATTTTTGACGATTCAACCGAGAACCTCGAATCAATTCATAGAAGGAGGGTGGTCACTAAAAGAAATATGAGCTGGGAGGCATAAATTTTCTAATCCTTTTTTGAGCGCATCAGTGGAATTATTCAGATGAATGGCAAGGTGAGTTTCGCTTTTAAAAAGTTACACGGGTCAGTTTCAATCTTTTTGAAGCGCTAAACATTCCTGAATGCATCATCATCAAATGAAACTGAAAATCGCTCGCTACGATTCACCCATTAGCTATCTCACCCAAATCGCTCATCAGCCTGAATTATATTGTCCAAGTTGATTTAAATTGAATAGTATGTGGTATGACCAGCAAAAATGTGGAGTAATGATGAAGACATTAATGAAGCGTATGGATGTTGCCGAAAGCAACATATCGTTATGCTGATAACACCACAAATATCCAGTAGCATTCCACTTACGATGAACACGAACGCTCTTCGTATTGATCCTCAAGTTTTATATCTTTAATGCGCTTCAGTCAGTTATCAGCGATCAACAGGTGATGTATGAGCACATCAGCAATGCAATACGAGAACAAATAAACACAAAATGAATTGTAATCAATTAATACGAACTTTCTACAGATGTCGTGACATCCGACGACTCCTCAGTCGAGAAATAATCCACTTTATTGCAGTGAAATTCAGTTATTGCTAGAACATATGATATCAGCCATAATGACAAAAGTTATCAAACAACCGTCTAGACAATTGTTATGGTTGAAGAAAAGTTTTATTGGGAAATAATTTTTCTTTAGTTCACAACTCTGGGCGACAACTTTTTGTTGGGGACGCGTTTGAAGATTTCAGTATATAAATGGTAAACAGACTGACGATCAAGCCAACAGAACAGCCACGGGCCAAATGAAGCGTTCTTGAAATAGACTGGTTGATTGATGTTGAAATCATCGAAATTTGTTGTTCGATTTGGGAACACATAATACTTTAGCACTTCAGCTGTATAAAGCCAATTATTGGTACTGCTACCTGAGGTGAAAATATCATTTTTGTTTCGTTCAAGTTTTCTTTTGTTTCAACTGGTGAAAATATTCTGATATGTATGACTATACAAATAAAGAGAAGCATATGACGAGTAACAGAATGAACAACAGTATACACTACTTACCAATCAGATTTGAAATGCATGCTAAAATCGAGCTGCAACATGCGAATTTGATGAAGATTCGTTGATTTGTGCGTGAGATTTTAATGAGTTTATGTTGTGATGCTGGTATAACCATTAGCTTTGCAACAGCAAAAGTGCGAGCACGGGAAGCAGAGCTGTTGGGTTGGAAAGAAGGAATAATCACTTATTAAAATATGTTCGTTACATGTGTGCTTGTTGAATAGTTGCTAGATGGAAGAACGAGCAGAAGTGAAGATAAGCATATGAAGCGAACATAAAGTAAAGTAAATTGAATATATTTACGATGGACGATTCCGAAGTGAATTTTGGATTGAATTGAATTGAATATCTGTGAGAAGTTAAATCAATCATTCATTCGTCACATAATCGAATCAATCAAAGTGTGAAGCGTCATCGACTTCTTCGCGAAAGGTTTGCTGAAAGGGGTATGTGCGATTTGAATAATCACTGTCGCTGTGGAATGCTTGATACTGTTAGCGTTTTTTATTTATTTATTATTACTTCTGTTATTATTGTTATTCTCATAATCATTGTTATTATGCTTGCAGATATCTATATGAAAAGATGAAGAGATGAGACAAGACAGGAATGTGGATGTCATAATGAATGTTACTCATTCGTCAGTGTACGTCCCCATGAACATTTACGTAGATTATTAAGGCTTGATACGAATTGTTTTCATCATACTGTGTTATACCATACGTTATACTAACACATCTGCATATGATGTGACACGTTGTAAACGTAATGTGACACGTTGCCCATACAAAATGATTTGTATTACTGCTTGTAACGTATGTCGTTTTTGATTTGCATTAGTTCGTTAAGGTAGGCTTAGGGAATATTCCATTGATTGCTTAACATTTTTTATTCGTTGTGATATTTGCTAATCCTCAATCCTTTACCAATTCCAAATCACTTGCGCGTCCAAATGATGTTTTTCACTCATTGCATAAATAACCGCTTACCATGTTATGTCATAATTCACCAGACAGTGATAGAAGAATGTTCTAGCGAATTGATCGTTACCTATCCAATACTATATCATACAGTTTTGAAAATGAACTGTTCTTGACTGTGATTGTGCATGACAGATATAATAATAGTGATGTAATATAGTAATGCTAGCACTTATAAGTAATACGATGACCTAAAATATTCTACTGACCATGCCAAAATCTATATAATTGTAATGCAGTGGCAAACCTACAAAAATGCATTACTCTGTTCACAAGTTTGGCTCAGCAACTGCCGATGTTTCAATCATGTTGATGTTTCAAGTGGCCTCCGCAAGGATATTTTATCAGCTATTGGACTATCAAACATCGAATCCAACTTGCTTGAAACAACATCGGCAGTCAAAATCCACTGATTCAGCGGCCTATTGTGCCTTCGAATTGCATTTGAATAAATAAATATGCTGTCGACAGTTCTGGATGTCCTGAAATATAATCATATGTAATTTGTTGAGAAGGGAGTTGATTCGTTTTTTTGCTTAATAAATAGGCGCCCATTAGATCAGTTTCGCATCATGTGCGTTTCGCATCAAGCGATTGCAAACTCAACACAACCATTTTGTGGAGTTGGAAGTTCTCTGAGATAGTTCCGAGGTAGAGCACCCAACCGGAAATTGAGACGTTTTTGTTCTGCTAGCGGCGGACAGTTTTGCTTGAAACGGCGTAGTGATTCAATTTCATTGAATAAACAGAATGGACTCTATTGTTGTAGATTGCAGTACTTCATAATAATTATTATAATAAGTATTGCTGCAATTTCAGCTTGGCAACAATAACGACAAATGACAGCCGGAGAATCACTGGGAGATAAAGAAGAAAATGGATCAATGAGGAATCAAGTTAAGTTAGCCGAAGGGATCCTAGTGGGATGTGGTAATCCTCTACTTGATATTGAAACGAATATTACGAAGGAATTCCTTGAAAAATGGAACTTGAAAGAGAACGACGCGATTTTGTGTGATGATCAACATGCACCAATGTACGTTTGAGTTTCATTCGTATCCTTATTATGGCAGTGAATATTATTCAATGATTGCAATCATCATCAATTGATGATACTCTCATTTTGAGGTTCACAGAACTGATTGAGAACTTTGATGTGAAATACGTTCCCGGTGGTTCAACACAAAATACATTACGTGTATGTCAGGTTAGCTAATCCAAATCAAAGTTCATCGATTTAATACATATGTTGCAACAATTATAATAATAAAGCTATACATGAACGCGTAATTTTTCTCGCCATCGCCCTTGTCGTGCATTGTGATAAAGTTGTTTATTGAAAACAGTGGATCTTGAATGAGGCCAATCGAACAGTATTCTTCGGCTCAATAGCGAATGACGAATATGGCGAGACTTTGCGGAAGAAGGCACTCGAAGCTGGCGTTCATGTGCGTTATCAAACGAATCAAGCGAACGACATCAAGACGGGCACTTGCGCGGCACTTATCTACAACCATCAACGGTCTCTTTCAATGCCATCTTGTATTGTAGCTTCTTCTCAAAACATCTGCTTGTTTATTCGATTTATTTCAGTTCACTTTGTGCTCACTTATCAGCCGCTAATACATTCACAGTGGATCATTTGTGCCTGAAAGAAAATGAATCATTCATTGAGGGCGCACAATATTTCTATATTGCGGTATGTGCGTAGACATTGTTAAAGCTTTATTTTAACATTCAATATTATGGCAATAACGACACTTATAATACTGACAATAATATTATTAATAATAATTAGTAACAATTATAACAATAGATTCTTTGAATCTCGTTCACTCGTTTATGTTGATAGGTATGATTTTCAGGGATTTTTCCTCACTGTATGTCCACCAGCAATAATGAAAATCGCAAAACATGCAGCCGAACATAACAAGGTAGGATTATGACTGGAGAGGCCAACCGACTCTAAAGCAAGCCTGCTTCGTCACAACCTTTTTTGATCATTGTCTGAGAATCGCGTTGAAACAATTTTAATGGCAGTTGAAAGTGAATGTAAGTGCAGACGAATGAACCTTTCTAGGTGTTCATGATGAACCTGGCAGCTCCGTTTATCCCGAAATTCTTCTCGGAACCATTGCAAGAAGCGCTACCATACGTTGATGTGGTGTTCGGTAATGAAGGTGAAGCAAAAGCATTCGCGGAGGCGAATCGTTTCGAAAATGCACAAGATATCAAAGAAATCGCATATCGAATAGCCACTTCAAGTGACAAGGTATGATAAGATATGGTATGTATTCATCACTGCCACATCTGTGTTCTGTGATGAATAAATGGATTATCTTTTGAGAGTATGCATGTTCAGACAGGTATGCACAGAAGTGAGGTGGATGCATTACTGATTGATGCGATCTTATCAGGAAATCATCCTCACTGATATGTTTTCAGAAAAATGTCAATCGGTTAAGAACAGTGATCATCACACAAGGTAGTGATCCGACAATAGTGGTAAGTGGTGATTCGATATGCGAATATCCGGTGAAAAAATTAAATAATGAAGAAATTGTGGATACGAACGGTGCTGGTGATGCATTCGCTGGAGGTTAGATTTGATTTCTGAATTGATTGAACTATCGACTTGAAATATTCCCAGTGATTGAAGTTTGAAAACCTTTATTTATTTTAAGGGTTTATATCACAGTTCATCCAAGGTAAATCAATCGAAGATGCAGTGCACTGTGGTCATTACGCAGCAATGTCGATTATCAAACAACACGGTTGTACAATCCCCGTCAATTGTGATTATCATTAACATTCACTTTTCTGTTAATTTTGATATAGTTTCATGCATAACCAATTCTACTAACAGCTTTTTGTGATATCACATTCCAGTAATTCTTCAGCCTTCCATCTACCTCTTATATTAAATATAACTCATTTTCGCATATGCTGTAATTTCCCTCGACTACGTATTCACCTACCTCATCTCCGTTCACTTCGTAACACCTCACGTAACTTTATCCACTGATAAATTATTTGAACAAAAATTATTTGTGGATGTACACATATTATCGCTTTGATCAATCATTCTCTAGTGTACTGTCGAAATTCTCACAGAAACAGAAATAGTTAAGGATGACCATCAACGAGTTAACTGCAATGATGAAGTTTCTGCTTTAGATAAAATGTGAGAAGTGTGGTTCATTTAGAAATAATTTGATAAAAACGCAGTAACAAATTAGCTTCAGATGGAACCGATATATCATATTGGCATTTCATTCACTTTTATCTTTTATAACATTAGATCGAAGAGAGCAAGTTGGTGCCATCACTGTGCAAAACGGTCTTCGAATAGATCGCATGAGTGTTTTATACGAAAACACTTGCATGAAACAGGTGACCAAAGCAATGAAAATGACACCACTGGCATGAAAAACGATCAGTGCTCATCAATCTGTATTAATTGTAATGGTTTTATAATTGCATGTTTTTATACTGTTATAAATCTTATTGAATTCGGGGTATCGGATCGGAGGGGGGCAGGGGAGGGGTAATTAAATAGAACATTTCTGAATACAGACCTTCATATTACAATCATACCTCATCAAAGTTATGAGTTAACAATAACAATTCCCTGACCAACAAACGGCTAATGCTAATTTCATTTCGTGTCCGACCCAAAATCGAATCACTGAGCACAGAAAAACACTCATCATTTCCTGCAGCTGTCATGGTAAGATCAAACGCCATTGTGGTTGTGTTTTTCCATTTGGGTAGTCAAACGCATTTTACTCATGGCCTACTCTGTTCCTTCTCCCATCTTCTGAGTATTTGTAGCTAGGGTTTGCAAAATCCCGACGATTTTTCAACCCCGGGATCGGGATTTAATCCTGGGATCGATTTTTGATCCCGGGATAATCCCGGGATCAAACAATTTTTGTAATATCAATGCGAGACATGTTCAAACACATTTTTTCGAACCAATATGTTCATTATTAATCAGAAAGGAGTTAATTTAACAAAATATTGAACAAATTCGAGGAACCAAATTATTCAAATTCAAATTAATATTTCATATAATGATGCTAATGATCATGTCGTAACGGCATACTGCATTTTCTATGCTAAGGCATCTTGTTATCTCGGGTCTAAGCTAATAACAGTACACTTGCATGTGAATATGGAATTCTTGATTCTCAAACACTTATTTGCAATGCTTCAAATCCATTTTCTCGCAGTATTAACGTCAGGTGAATCCTGCCATTTCGGAAATTTCGACTTTTTACGAAAAAATGCATCGCATGAATTATATCATTTGAATTTTGAAAAATTAAAAGTTCAGAGTTTATCTAAAAGTGAAAAAAAAATATCCACAATGGATTTTCGTCGAACCATCGAGCACTTTTATGTTTGACAATTTCGATCAGAGGTCAAGGAAATGTACTTGACTTTGGAGCTTAAAATCCTTTTGAATGGAACAATTTCCCTCACTTCGACAGTAAATTCTCACTATGAGTGAACTCAGTGAGAATTAATGTACATTTCGATCGGATGAAAGTGCTTCCAAATAACGAAGTAAAAAGGTTTGCAGTCTTTAGAACATGCAGTTGAATTAACAAATAACAAATGGAATGTTGAAGCCGAAAAAATCGCATTAGAGGAAACGACTCAAAATAAAATTTCATTGAATTTTGTTGATCTTGAATCTTATTAGAAAATGTGATTATCTGTGTTATTCTACTTAGAAATGCATCCAGATGAGCGTGATATAAAGCAATGAAGAGCAGAATAATCAGCTGAATATTGAATGAAATGTTACGTAAAAGTTCATCGAGCTGTCGTTGATCATGTCATTCGTCCAGTTTGCGTCTATTATCTCAGCTGTTCATCAATGATAGACGGCTAACAGCAAAAATGACTGCATATGAATAAGATGGGAATAATTAAAGCTTGCTTCAAGATGAGCATACTATCAAAATTCATGCAAATTGACCTGTTTTATCAAATCCCGAAATCTCGGGATCGGGATCAGTACTAAAATCCCGGGATCTCGGGATCCCGTGCAAACCCTATTTGTAGCTTCTGTAGGCCTGATTACCAATCAGCATGCATTACTCGCCCTCGACGAATTTCTAGATCATTTTTAGAATTGCCTCTGATAATATGCGTACAAATAGTGGATTATTGTAGGGAGTGCATTAGAAGTGAGACAAACTTATATAAGCATAATTGAGTGATAAGTTCTTTAAGAGTTGATATTTAGTTTAATATAGTGTGGTGCGGGGACGCAAAAAAGTCAGGGGCGGGACTTTTTGCGAACGGGGAATACCCCGAAAGCGTCGCGGCTAGAAAAACGTCGGGGACGGGGACCCCGAAATTCCCTCATCCCCGCACCACGCTAGTTTGAGCTCATCATCATCATTCTTGTTTTATGTGCACGCAACTAAAAAATGACTTGGAAATTTTACTAAGAAGTTTGTTCATCTCATGATACCCAAAAAAGTATGTAAACTTTGTGAAGGAAATATTTCTTATTCATGAATGAGATACAGCAAGCGTTTACACCAAGTCGTCTATGAAATTTTAATGATTTAAATTAAAATGACTTGAAAAGAAATTTTGGTACAGTTCGAGAAGTACGAACAAAGTGACAGTTCACCAAGTGACGAAACTTGCATTTTTATTTGATGTGTTCGGTAATGTGAATTTCTTGCCCACTGAACGAGAACAAATCGGGGCAATTCGTATATCGTTTTGTAGCGCAAATCCAGGAGAATAAAACATGATGTACAGAGTGGGCAGCAATAAAGATATTTTCGAGATATCCTATTTCGCTTTAAGTGCAAAAGTTCAACAAATAATTTGAATTGGTACCCACCTGACAGGCAAAATTTATAATCATGATATATACCATGTTGTAGCTGAGATTGAGTACTACAGAAATCTTATTTAAATATTGTTGCCAATTGTTAAATTACTAGCATTGAAGAGAGCAGAAATCATTAGCAGAAAGAGAGAAATCTTAGCATTAGAAAAAAAAATCTTAGCATCTAGCATCTTAGCATCTAGAAATCTTAGCATTAAATCTTAACATTAAATTTCATTACTAGCAGAAATCTTAGCATTGAAGAGAGCGAAACAGGTTTCACTTGAATTCAGCATTTTGCTTGTTGTTTGTACTTCATTATCAAATCTTCGCATTCCATTGTTTTATCATATCGCGCGATTTTTTAATCTCATTTATTTTATCCAGTTGCATGTTTCCCTTTCTGTTCATTTCTGGATGCGTATTATTGTTGAAATGAATAGTAATCAGTGTAGATCCATACATACTCCTGCATAACACAATTTATCACTTCTGTTTCATGTTGCATTTGCATCGTTTATCATCTCTTATCATTTCGTGTTTCATGAAGAAATTTTTGATTTTATCGTTTTTATTGTAAAGTCGATTTTAAATTTTATTATTTTTAAAAATGTACATTGTTGTTATAAATAATGAGGTGCTTCTTATCAAAACAACCCTTCACAAATCTCGAACTTCATCTGTGTTATATTTCCAGAAGAATATCAGTCGGTTTATAGTCAGTGAGAGTATTAGTGAACATCACCATTGCTCACGCCGAGCGTCATAACTCTCCTAAATTAAAAATTGGCAACAATATTTGAATGAAATTTCTGTAGTACTCAATCTCAGCTACAACATGGTATATATTATGATTATAAATTTTTCCTGTCGAGTGGGTACCAATTCAAATTATTTGTTGAATTTTTGCTCTTAACGCGAAGTCGAAAATCTCGAACATATCTCGATTACTGGCAAATATATCAATTGCATTTGTTTTCCTGGATCTACTCCACAAAATGGTATATAAATTGCCCGGATTTATTCCCGCTGAATAGTTAAGAAATTCACATTTCTGAACATATATCAAATGAAAATCCCACTTCCGTCATTTGGCGAACTGTCACTCCGTTCGTACTTAGCGAAGTGTGTGTATATCACCCGAACGATGGAATGAATGTTCATAGTTTTAAATCGTCAAAAAATATGCGGAAAACAGATGAGTGACTTCAGATTAGTGATGAGATCCGAGCGAAGTTTCGTTCGGTCGGTATTCCGACCGAATTGACATTCCGCCGTTCCGACAGTTGGGGGAACACGACAATTGACCAAGCGACAACTGTCAGCACGATGTTTCGCCACAAATAGTCGGTCACACAAACTTCGTCTGGGTTCGCTTTTTGAGCAGTGCGAACGCTTAGGCTTACGCTGAGGCTACGCTTAGGCTTACGCTGAGGCTACGCTTAGGCTTACGCTGAGGCTACGCTTAGGCTTACGCTGAGGCTACGCTTANGTCAGTGAGAGTATTAGTGAACATCACCATTGCTCACGCCGAGCGTCATAACTCTCCTAAATTAAAAATTGGCAACAATATTTGAATGAAATTTCTGTAGTACTCAATCTCAGCTACAACATGGTATATATTATGATTATAAATTTTTCCTGTCGAGTGGGTACCAATTC